AACTAGCAATTTGTCTGCTGTATTATAGCTACTCTTTGAATTTATCCATCTATCCATCCATCCATTAAAAAAAATATTAACCCCATGTTAGGTGCTAGATATATACAGTGGCCAAACCAGGCCAAAATCTCTGTCCTTATTGAATTTTATATCTTGGCAGATGAGATACACAATAAACAATGCATTTTTCCCTCTGTGGCTAATGAGGTTATTAACTGAAATGGGTTAGGATTTCTTCTTTAAAATAGTAGTCTTCAAATTTATTTGACCACTCAACTATAAGTCAAGAATTTTCAAACAAATCCCAATATTCATATGTTCATTCATTTACTCACTCAACAAATATCATTAAAGCTCCAACTATAGGACCAGCACTGTTCTAAGCCCTAGGGATACAACAGTGAACAAAAGAGACAAAATTTCTGACTTTATGAAGCCTGTAATCTAGTGGTGGCTTAGACAATAAAAGAGACAACAGTGGTTGACTACTTTGAAGTTTTCTCATCCTTTGTCAGCTCTTCCTCCATATTGCATTTCTTGGGATCTTACTTTTTGTGGGTCGCTGCGTAACAATTTGGGCAATTATAAAAGAGGAGTCTAGACTCTACTATGACCATGAAGCCATGAGTTGATAGACTTGTATAAGGGTGGAATAGAATATGCTATTGAAACCATTTTCCAGAATGAGATTGGGGATATTTTTCAGGTTATCCTTCTTCAGTCTAAATAGCTGACTATGTATTTTATGCCACAGGATTCAATTTGCACTCCATCAAATTATTGTTTTTAGTTGACCTTGATATAAATACATGGATTCTGACTCCACAAAAAATTTTAAAAACCTGAGAACAAGAAATAAAATGATGTATTAGGACTATATATATTAATAGTATATATTAATGTATAGGTATATATTAGTATATATTAATAGCATATGATATTATTAGTGTTAAGAATGGTGTGAATCTTACCAGAGTGTCACAGCCCAACTCAAAGCAAAGCTTTCATGATGATCTGGCTCTTCTGCTAATTTGAGCAGCGTAGAAAGATAGATTGCCTGGCCTTGTTTGGTTCCTTGTCCACTTCCTATTGACATCTAATTGGCAGCCATCTAGCTCCCTTTGAAAAGACCTGTTCAAGCTTAGCAATTAAGGAGCTTCTAACCAGTTCTTTTTGTAATTTACCTTTTTGTAATCCAGAGGTATTTCTGTCCATTGTGCGTTTTTTCACAGTTCAGAGATTTTGGAGAATGTTCTAATTGTATAGTTTTTCTGACATTGATATAATAAGAATTATTTTGGAATGTTTCTGCTCTGAAGTAGGATCAAAACTCTTGAATGTCTGGACTAGACATACCAAAAACTGCACAGGACACAGGCATATTTCCAGGGCTCACTCTCTATTTCTGGGCATCCTTGTTTTCTAGAGAACTCTACTCTGGGGAGTAAAAAAGTCTTAAGGGTCAGGGAATCACAGTGTGTGGGACTCTTCTCCCTACATCACTTATATAACTTATGCTACCATGGAAGAAGGACAGAAGTTTCTTCCCAGTATCCTGCAGACCCTGGAAATGGGGCTAAAGAGATGAGATTTGTGGGAAGTTTTGCACGTCCATGATTATTATTAGATAAGGAACTGGGAAGCTAAATTTAGCTGTCAGTTCCTACCTGCTGCCCTGACTGCCTCCCTCTCTGCCCTGCCACTGGGCAGCTGTAGATTGGGTTGCTGTATGCTTGCTTGCAGGGGTGGCTATTAACAAGACAACCACAGGTATGATTGAAGAAAGTTTTCTTCCAATTTAGCAGATTTGGGGCTTTTCTGTAAACATAAGTCAATTTGATCACCCAAAAGCAGGGCTCGGCTTTGGTGGATGGGGCAGGGCACTCATGCTTGCCTGGTGGACCAGGCTGTCTGCATTCTTCCGGCTGGAGAGAGTCTCAGTGGCCTGAGTGGGCCAGCATCCTGGCAGTTTGTCTGACCTGATTGGAGGAGGTTGCCCAACTTTGGAAATGGCTCTCTAGAGGATGGAAGACCATCACCTAAATAATCCACGACCCTTTAGCTTTCCTTTATCTGGGAGGTCTGGGGCTCAAAAGGCGTTGAAAATTTATTGTCCCTTGGAAGGCTAGCTTTGTAATGAAGAAGAAATTCAGTTCCTCTTTTTGTGTAATCATACAGTGACTAATCTCTGGGAATATCCTTTCAAGGGAATTAATTATAAGTCTGTAAAGAAGAGTTATGAAGGAGCAAGCTGACTCCCAGATAACTCTGAAAATCCAAAATTGGATTAAATCAAACCATCTGTATGCATGGAAAATTGGGCATCTTGGTAAGCTCTGCCAAAGTTCAGTATGCTCTCTTTTAATAGCTTATTTTGACCTCTAATAGTTTTTCCTGTAAATAAAATCTTTTATTTGGACTTTTCAAATTTCCTGCTTTTTCCAAATATGGAAAGGGCTCTTAGAATGAAGGTTGGTATGAATTTAAGGCATACACAAATTAAAATAAATAAATTCTACTGATGTATTTATCCATTTTTCTACTGTAAACAGCCATCAGTATTGCAGGTGCCATGATTATGATTTAGGACTTTTTGGTCTCATCATTTAAATAAAAGTGAAGAAATATTTAAAGGATGCAAATAATATGGCAAAGGGGCCTTAATTTCTTCTTTAGATACTTGAATATAGCATAATAAACCTTGCAAATGACTAGCATTTTAGAATTTACAGAATGTCTTGATATGTATTATCTCATTTAATTCTTAATAAAATTTTGGGGGGATGGTATTGTTAATCCCATTTTGCCACTGAAGTGACTGGAGTTCAGAGAAGTTAAATGACTTGCTTAAGGGTCCTTTACCTGAGTGATAGAGCTGAGATGGAAACTGTGGCTTTATGAGACCAAAGCCTGTGCAATACAACATATCCCTTTTTAAAACATTTATAGTCATCATTGCTTTACATTTGTCTTCACACACCGTGTGTTACCTTGGTTGTGATGATCTGCATACATAACTGAATTTGAAATTGAATATGAGTTCTGAAATTGAATATAGTTCCTTGAAAGCAGGGACCTTGCATTATATTCTGTGGCTTATTCTCAGAGCTCAAAAGAAATATTTGTTGATGAGTCAACACAATATTTCTCTTCTAGTCAGTTTCCTTTACGTACATCCATGTTAATAATACAAAACAGGGCATATTTCTGCCTTCCTGTACCACCCAAGGTAGTAGCTTAACAAGTTGCTCACTCAAAGATAGTAAAAGCAGGTTCTAGCAGCCAGAGAATTTTTTTGGTGACTAAGTAGGAAGCTGTCTCAAAAAACAAAAATAAAAACAAAAACCCCAAACAAAAAGATGGGGAATTAAAGGACAACTTTTCTAGAAGGCATAACTGGACAAATAGAGCAGGAACTACCTAGGAAATGCTGGAGGAGGAGAAAGTAGGGGAAGAATAGGAGGTGGCAATTGAATTTGGTCCAGAATCTGAGGTTTCTTTGGAACATTTAGCTGAAGAGGTAAGGTGGGGAGCAGTGGGGTCTTTGTGAGTCATCAGCACAAAGTTTGAGGAAGAGAATGAAATTAAGCAAGTGAAGTGATGATGGTCCAGTGAGCAGATGCAGAAGAGTGGTGGATGGAACTTGAGGAATGCCATCATTTTAGGGGTGGGCTGAGGCAGAGCCTCTGTTGTGTTCACTGTAGTTTTGTTAGCCCCTAGGAAGCGTCTGGCACACAGGGATGCTCAGTAAATATTTACCCAGTGATTGAATAAGAAAAGGAGACTGAGATGGTATGGACAGAAAGCTGGAGAACCAGGAAAACCAGAGCCATAGGAAAGAAAGAGTGTGAAAAGAAGATATTGTCAAATGACAGAGTAGGTTCATTTGAGGCACTGGCTGAGTCTGATCACCAGGCGACTTTTCTGGCCTCAGTGAGAGAAGCAAGGGGGTAGCGCAAAGAGTGGCTGGCAGCATGGCTGGAGGGAGTGAAGACGGAGATTTTGACCACTTATTTTTTTAAGTGATCTTTAAGAACTAATAGAAACTGGTTGAAGAAATTCAGGGGATATAGAGGAGTGTAAAGTAGAAAATTCCAATCACTTAAGATCCTTTCATCCCTCCATCATTCTCTCTAAATAAACATTGTTAATATATTGTGTTTTAGGTTGAACTTATGAAAGATTTGGGGGTCAAAGCCAGTTGATGATTTACTAAGGTTCAAAGTATAGGGTTTTTTTTGCAGTAGATGATTACTCTTTCAGAAATGGAGAAAGGAGAAAGAGCATGCACAATTCACAATTGCAAAAATGTGGAATCAACCCAAGTGCCCATCAATTCATGAGTGGATTAACAAAATGTGGTATACATATTCTATGGAATACTACTCAGCGATAAAGAAGGATGATGAATTAATGCCTTTTGCAAGACAATTTGGATCATACTGGAGATTATTGCTCTAAGTGAAGTATCTAAAGAATGGAAAAACAAACACCACATGTTCTCATTAAAGTGGAACTAACCGATGAGCACACATATGCACAGAGGGAAGTAAAACTCAATGGAAATCAAACAGTTGGGAGGGGAGATGAATGAAGTGGTGAAAACCTACCTAACGGGTACAATGAACACTATCTGGGTGGTGGCCACACTTATAACCCTGACTCAAGCATTACAAAAGTGATCTATGTAACCAAAAACATTCATACCCCAGTAATATTTTGAAATAAATTGGAATTATTTGATAAAAAAATTAACTAGTAACCTAATTATTTTAGGGTGAGGGCATCTTAACATATTTTTTGCAAGCCAAGAAGTAGGAGGAAGGTTGATGACAAGTGGTGACAGTTGCTCACAAGGGTTGAAAATCCGAACATCGGTTCACTGCCTGTGTATCTGGGTGTGTGCTTTTCTCCAGCAGTGCTGGGTAATGGGGGAAGCTGCTGGCTGGGGATCGCACGGTGGCCACTCCTGGAAAAACAACTTCTTGCTGTGGTTGCAGGGACCCAGTGAGCTTTCCACTTCTGGGCCTTGCCCTGCACTTGAACCGGAACAGCTTGGACAGAGAACATGCTGAGGCTCTTATCGGAGGAGGCATCACATCTGTAAACAGGCTGTTTGAAGCAATTTGAGCCGTAACCTCAAGGTAGGAAGCAAGATGCCTTTTGTTTATTTTCCGAGTGGAATTTTGTGGCCCAATCTGCAGATAGTTTGCTTCCCCATCTGGAATATCATTGGAGCTTTGAGGGACCAGTAGTAGAGTTGGCCTCCAGATGGCTCTAGGGAGTCTACCAGGATTCAGACTAAGCTCAGCCACTGCAGACTTCTTGCAGTTCAAAGGGAAGCAGCAAGAAGGCACAGGGAAGAATTATAGTACTTGTTCTTTCTTTGAGTAGTAGGAAGAAAATAGGTGCATATCAAGCTTTCATTATAATTAAAAAGTCTGCCTAAGCCATGATCAGCAAGTCTGACATCCATTGCATCAATGAAAAATAAATGATATAAAAACAAAAACAATTACCATGAAAAAGAACCAAAACGTCTTCAGAGAAAGCCCCTTTGCTCTCTGCTTATAATGCATGGGCTTTCCTGTCTTTCAATCAGGAGCCTTCAATAACAGTGGCCTCAAAATCTGGGACTCTTTTCTTTGTGTTAACCTTGATACGCCAGAAGGAAAACACCAACATCGTGCTTATTCCTGGGAATTTTAGGTTTTCAATCACCTGTTCATCTAGTGTTAATGCTGGTACAGAAAAGAAAAAAAGCAATTAATTTAGACTCTAAATAGAAAATCTGACTGTCTTTCATTTCTCCCCTCTTCAACTTCCTAATCAATATCTATTTCAAGAAAGTCCAATCTGCCCCAGAATAACCATATTTTTTGTCGTTTTTTTGAGACAGAGTCTCACTCTGTTGCCTGGGCTAGAGTGCCATGGTATCAGCCAAGCTCACAGCAACCTCAAACTCCTGGGCTCAAGTGATCTTTCTGCCTCAGCCTCCCGAGTAGCTGGGACTACAGGCATGTGCCACCATGCCTGGCTAATTTTTTGTTTCTATTTTTAGCTGCCTGGCTAATTTTTTCTAGTTTTAGTAGAGATGGGGTCTCACTCTTGCTCAGGGTGATCTTGAACTCCTGACCTCAAGAAATCCTCCCACCTCTGCCTCCCACATTGCTAGTATTACAGGCGTGAGTCACCATGCTTGGCCTATATTGTTTTTTAATTTAGGTTTTTATTTACTCTGGAGTGGTGGTAGTCTGGGTAATAGACTGTAAGTTAGGGTATCCATGCCCTGGGTCCTGTGCTGCTCTCACTACCCTTATCATTTTTAAACAACTTAATCAATCTAGATCCCTTTTACCCATCTGGATTAAATCAGGGGTGTTTAATGTGGAGCCCATGGCTTTGAGAAGATTCGTGGATGAGATTTTTTTTTTAAATAAAAAGTTTTATTGAGATATAATTACATATCCTAAGTTTAAAATGTACAATTTGGCCGGGCGCGGTGGCTCACACCTGCAATCCCAGCACTCTGGGAGGCCGAGGCGGGAGGATGTTGAGCCCAGGAGTTTGAGGTTGCTGTGAGCCAGGCCGATGCCACGGCACTCTATCTTGGGTGACAGAGCAAGACCTGTCTCAAAAAAAAAGGAAAAAGTGTATAATTTAATGGTTTAAAGTATATTTACAATTTGGCAACCATCACCATAATCTAATTTTAGAAAATTTTATCATCCCCCAAAGAAACTCCATACCCATTAGCAGTCACTCTTCATTCCTGCCCAAACCTCCCTGCCCCCAGATCTTAGCAACCACTAATCTACTTTTCAACTCTATAAATTTGCCTGTTTTGGAATTTTTACACAAATGGGATCATACAATATATAGTCTTATGTGAATATCTTCTTTCAGTCAGCATAATGTTTTTGAGATTCATTTTTATTGTTGAATAATATTCCATACTCTAGATATACCACATTTTGTTTTTCCATTCACCAGTTGATAGACATTTGGGTTGCTTCCACTTTTTGATTATTAAGAATAATGCTGCTCTGAACATTTGTGTACAAGTTTCTGTGTGGATGTATGTTTTCATTTCTCTTGGGCAGATACCTAGGAGTGGAATTTCTGGGTTGTATAATAACTTTTTTTTTTTTTTGAGACAGAGTCTTGCTTTGTTGCTCAGGCTAGAGTGAGTGCCATGACATCAGCCTAGCTCACAGCAACCTCAATCTCCTGGGATCAAGCAATCCTTCTGCCTCAGCCTCCCGAGTAGCTGAGACCACAGGCATGCACCACCATTCCCGGCTAATTTTTTCTATATATATTAGTTGGCCAATTAATTTCCTTTTATTTATAGTAGAGACGGGGTCTTGCTCTTGCTCAGGCTGGTTTTGAACTCCTGACCTCAAGCAATATGCCTGCCTCAGCCTCCCAGGGTGCTAGGATTACAGCCATAAGCCACCATGACCACGCCCGGTCTATAATAACTTTACGTTTAACATTTTGAGGAACTGCCAAACTGTTTTCCAAAGTAACTACACCATTTTACATTCCCACTAACAATGTATGAGGGTTCTAATTTCTCCACATCCTTTACACTGTTACTGTCTATCTTTTTTTTTTTTTTTTTTGAGACGAGTCTCACTCTGTTGCCCGGGCTTAGAGTGCCGTGGCATCAGCCTAGCTCACAGCAACCTCGAACTCCTGGGCTCCTGCCTCAGCTTCCCCAGTAGCTGGGACCACAGGCCTGTGCCACCATGCCCAGCTAATTTTTTCTATATATTTTTAGTTGGCCAATTAATTTCTTTCTGTTTTTAGTAGAGACTCTTGGTCAGGGTCTTTACTAAAAGACCCTACTAAAAGAGGGGTTCCACTCTTGCTCAGGCTGGTTTTGAACTTCTAAGCTTGAGCGATCTGCCCACCTTGGACTCTCAGAGTGCTAGGATTACAGGCATGAACCATCGCTCCTGGCCTGTCTAGCTTTTTTTTTTTATTTTTTTTATTTCGGCATATTATGGGGGTACAGATTTTAAGTTTTCAATAAATGCCCATTTCCCCCGCCCCCAAAAGTCTGAGTCTCCATTCATGACCATCCCCCAGATGGTGTACATCTCACTCATTATGTATGTATATACCTGCCCCCACCCCCTTCCACTGCCCAATACCTATTACTGTAGGACCTATGTGTCCACTTAGGTGCTACTCAGTTAATACCAGTTTGCTGGAGAATATATCTGGTGCTTGTTTTTCCATTCTTGGGATACTTCACTTAGTAGTATGGGTTCCAGCTCTAACCAGGAAAATATAAGATGTGCTATATCACCGTTGTTTTTAGAGCTGAATAGTACTCCATGGTATACTATTACAACATTTATTTAATCCATTCTTGGATTGATGGGCACTGGGCTGTCCACAGCCTTGCGATTATGAATTGTGCGCTATAAACATTCGAGTGCAGGTTTCTTTTTGTAGAGTGTCTATTGGATCATTTTTGGTAGATGCCCAGCAATGGGATTGCTGGATCAAATAGTAGATTCACTTGTATGCTTTAAGGTATCTCCATATTGCTTTCCACAGAGGTTGAACTTAGTTTGCAGTCCCACCAGCAGTGTAGGAGTGTCCTCTCTCTGTGCAACCACGCCAGCTTTATTGTTGAAGATTTTTGATAAAGGCCATTCTACTGGGGTTAGAGTGATATCTCATTGTGGTTTTGATTTGCATTTCCCTGATGATTAGAGATTTGAGCATTTTTTCATATGTTGTTGGCCATTTTTCTGTCTTCTTTAGAAAGTTTCTGTTCAAGTCCTTTGCCCACTTTTAATGGGTTATTGATTTTTCTTCCTGATTTTCTGAGTTCTAAGTATATTCTTAGTTTCAGTCCCTTATCAGATGCATAGGATGCAAAAATTTCTTCCATTCTGTAGGTTGTCTGTTTACTTCATGACTATTTCTTTGGCTGTGCAGAAGCTTTGTAGTTTGATCATGTCCCATATTATTTTGTTTGCTGGTGATTGCCTTTGGACTTCTTCATAAACTCTTTGCCAGGCCGATGTCTAGGAGAGTGGTTCAACTTTTTCTCTAGAGTTCTAATAGTTTCATACTTAGGTTTAAGTCTGTTATCCAGTGTGAGTTGGTTTTTGTGAGAGGTGAAAGGTGTGGGTCTGTTTTAGCCTTCTACAGGTGCTATCAGTTTTCCCAGCACCATTTATTGAAAAGGATTCTTTTCCCCAGCGTATTTTTTCTGCTTTGTCAAAGATTAGATGGCAATATGAGGATGGTTTTATATCAGGATTCTCACATCCGTTCCACTGGTCAATATTCCTATTTTTGTGCCATACCATATTGATTTAATTACTACAGCTTGTAGTATAGTTTGATATCTTGCATATTAATGCCTCCCATTTGTTTTTGTTGCCAGAATTGCTCTTGATATTCGGGGTCTTCTTTTGGTTCCATACGAAGCTAAGATTATTTTTCTATATCTGTGAAGAATGCTGATGGGATTTTAATAGTATTGCATTGAATCTGTAGATCAGTTTGGGTAGTATAGACATTTTGATGATATTGAGTCTGCCGATCCACGAGCATGGTATGGATTTCCATCTGTTTACATCCTCTGCTATTTCCTTCCTCAGTGTTTCATAGTTCTCCCTGTAGAGGTCTTTTACGTCCTTGGTTAAGTATATTCCTAGGTACTTTAATTTTTTTGTTGCTATTGTGAAGGGAATTGAGTCTTTGAGTTGGTTCTCAAATAGATTGTTGTTGGCGTATATAATGCCTCTGATTTCTGTGTTTGATTTGTATCCTGAGACTTTACTAAATTCATTGATCAGTTCCAGGAGTTTCTTGTTGACTCTTTGGGGTTTCTAGATATTATATCATCAGCAAACAGTGAAAGTTTGATCTCTTCTGTCCCTATTTGGATACTTTGATCCATTTTCCTGCTGATTGCTTAGCCAAGACTTCCAGCACTATGTTGAACAGAAGTGGAGATAGTGGGCAGCCTTGTCTGGTTCCAGTTCTAAGTGGAATGATTTCAATTTTCCCCATTCAGTATGATGTTGGCTATAGGTCTGTCATATATGGCTTGTATCATTTTTAGGTATGTCCCTTCTATGCCTATTTTCTTAAGTGTTCGTATCATGAAAGGGTGTTGAATTTTGTCAAAACTTTTTCTGCATCTATTGAAAGAATATGTGGTCTTTGTTTTTGCTTCTGTTGATGTGGTGAATTGCATTTATAGATTACGTATGTTGAACCATCCCTGCATCCCTGGGATGAAGCCCACTTGGTCGTGGTGGATTATTTTTTGATAAGTGTCTGGATTCGGTTAGCTAAGATTTTGTTGAAAATTTTTGCATCTATATTCATTAGGGATATTGGTCTGTAGTTTTCTTTTTTTGTTGCATCCTTTCCTGGTTTTGGTATCAGAGGAAAATTCGCTTCATAAAAGGTGTCGGGAGGTTTCCGTTCTCTCGATGTTGTGGAATAGTTTCTGCAAGATAGTACTAGTTCTTCTTTGTAAGTGTGGTAAAATTCAGGTGGAAGCCATCTGGACCGGGGACTTTTTCTTTTAGGGAGATTTTTAATTGCTGTTTCTATTTCAGCTGTTGAGATTGGTCTCTTCAGGGAATCTATTTCTTCCTGGTTGACCTAGGAGGCTGTGGTTTCTAGAAATTTGTCCATTTCTCCACATTTTCTAGTTTGTGTGCATAAAGATTTTTGTAGTATTCATAATTGTATCTTGTATCTCTTTGGGATCAGTTGTGATATCTCCTTTTTTATTCCTGATGGAGCTTATTAGAGATTTCTCTTTTCTGCTTTTTGTTAGCTTAGCCAATGGTGTGTCAATTTTGTTTATTTTTTCAAAGAACCAACTTTTTGTTT